AAAGTTACACAATGCACTTTTAAAGATGAAAAATGGGAAATGTTGTAACAAAGTATTTCAAAACAACATATTAATAGTTTTACTTTTGTTTCCTCTTCATGTAACATGTTTGGTAATCCTATTTGGTGAGACCATATCACTCTGAATGGTTTATATTCCCATCTCAATTTCAATTTAACCTTACCTTAACCTTAAATTATTGTCCAAATGATTTAAAGCTTTTAATAAACATCTAGCAAAATCAATATATTTTCAATGTAATCATATCTTTGTAGACGTGATTTTTGAAATAAATATTACATTCACTGATTATGTTTTCACATTTTGTGAAAAATTAAGTTGTATTTTAAACTGTTTGCAGCAGTCCAAACTTATTCCTAATTTTTCTAATACATTCCCAGCATTGTAATTATTCATAGATAAGAGTTTATAAGTGTGATTTATAAATTTCAAAGGCCAGAGCTGTGTTTTGCTTTAACAGTACTGCTAGGGTTCCCACGATCATGGAAATCCTGGAAAAGTCATGGAAATTAAAAATATCATTTTCCAGGCTTGGAAAAGTCATGGAGTTTTGTAAATTCAATGAAAGTTTTGGAAAAGTCGTGGAATTTTATTATCTCTATCACGCAACTACAGCGTTCTATTAAGTTATCATTAGGGTATTATGATTATTTCTGAATGTCTGCGCCTTTTGTTTAAAAGAGACGACAATAAATGCACTGACAATATTTTGAATGTTAAAAAACTATAAACCCAAACCATAAGGTGAGTGAAAAGGGTTAACTTTTCATATTCAGCCCTAAAAGTATGATCAATTCTACACATGTAGGTGCAGTCATGGAAAATTCACTTTAGGTCATGAAAAAGTAATGGAAAAGTTATCAAATTTTTTCAGTGAAAAAGAATGAGAACCCTGTGCCAACAAAAACTAGCAAGTTAACAGTGCACCGGCGCTACTTCCTGGGTCACAGATGAAAAACTCTTAACACTCTTGATAATTAGACCTACAGGCAGCATACAGCAGTCTCATTTTGACACTAAAGAGCTGCTTTTACAATACATCCGTAATGGAGCAAAACAAATTTTACTTTATTTTATGAAAATTTATATAATAAACCATGACCTATGGTCATGAGCTCTGGGTAATGACCGAAAGGACAAGATCGCAGATACAAGCAGTCGAAATGAGTTTCCTCCGCAGGGTGGCTGGGCGCTCCCTTAGAGATAGGGTGAGAAGCTCAGTCACACGGGAGGAGCTCGGAGTAGAGCCGCTGCTCCTCCACGTTGAGAGGAGCCAGCTGAGGTGGCTCGGGCATCTGTTTCGGATGCCTCCTGGACGCCTCCCTCGGGAGGTGTTCTGGGCATGTCCCACTGGGAGGAGGCCACGGGGAAGACCCAGGACAAGCTGGAGGGACTATGTCTCTCGGCTGGCCTGGGAACGTCTCGGGATCCCCCTGGAAGAGCTGGAGGAAGTGTGTGGAGAGGGAAGTCTGGGAGGCCCTCCTCAGACTGTTGCCCCCGCGACCCGACCTTGGATAAGCGGAAGAAAATGGATGGATGGATGGATTATATAATAAAAAATGTATGCATTACCAATGATGGATCAAACCAGCACTCTTATGGTTAGCGGGTGAGTGTGTCTACTATATGGCAGATTGGACTCACCAAAAGCGTCATGTTTCAAACTAATGATATTGTCAACAAGCAATTCGCACTTGTGCATTGAATACCACAACACAAGTTTACATACACAATAAAATGTGTTAATGGTTGCAAAAACTTTACTTTCTTACTGCAGTGCAAAACATGTGTGCTTCTATTGGTCTGGGAAGTCTATAAACTATAATGAATTTGTGAATGTAGTCCAAATCTGCACTTTTTATAGCAATTTTTACACACTTTCGTCCAATAAATCCAAAGTTACAGCGGGACCACCGGAGCGTTCAGTCTCACAGGCATACATCACATTTTTAACTGCAGTTTTAGTTTCGCTGTTTCGCTGTCAAGTTATTCCACAGAACACAAGGATCATTAGTTTCACCAATACCCAAACAAACCAAAGTGATGAGGAAAAGCTCCAAACGGTGGTGACAAGAATAAGTGAAAGAGCTTTTTGATGGATTAACGCAGTGGCAAGGTTGAAAGATTTACAAAATGATGGCTTAAATTAAACTAAGAAAAAAAAGTTTGAATTTGAATTTACTGAGATTTATTGGTTCAGTAAAGACACGGGCCGGGCTAAGGGACAGCAATCTGATTCATGCATTGAGATTCAGAAAAGGATAGGGATATGGGAATCAAATATTCTTCTTCAAATAGCTGTAGTGATCTAATATCGTAAATAGGCCTCTGCGATCAATCAAATTCTAATGCCCAATGATTAGCTAAGGTTTTTTTTTTTTAATGGAGAGTCCGCTGTGAATGACAGCATGTGGTCTGGAGCAGAGTTCAGACTAAAGAGGAAGAAATTTGACTACTTTTGTGTTACGGTATGGTAATTAAGAAAATGTTGTATTGTTTATGTTCAGGAAATTAAGCCATTTTACTTGTTTAATAATAAAGTAAATCAATATGATCTATATGAGAAAAAAATAGTAATACATTTTGTTATATGACCCAGCCATAAACATGCTTATTATTAATACTTGCTTATTAATGGCTGATTTCATAAGATCTCAGATGCTAACCAAAGCTGAGCCAAGACTTCGATGGGAGACCACTGGGAATATCAGGTGGGGCACTAGTGGAAACTGTTGTGTTATTAAGCAAGACACTTCACCTACATTATACTGTATGCTGTACATCAGGAGGATATTGATTAAGTAAATAAGTACTTTTTTATTTATATACTGCTTTTCACACATATATGTCACGCTTTTACAGATCATTATTCATTCACCCCATACCCAGTGGTGGTAAACTACTACTGTGGCCACAGCTGCCCTGGGGCAAACTGATGGAAGAATCTGCGCCACTGGCCCCTCCAACCACCAACAACACTCACGCCCACACGACTATCATATTAGGCAATGTGCGTGAAGTGCCTAGCCTTGCTCACGTTTTTGCAACTGGGACCCCACTGTGGCACCTGATTTTCTCAGCGGTCTCCCATCCAAGTACTGACCAGGCCTGGTATTGCTTAGCTTCTGAGATCTGACAGGATCAAGCTTTGACAAGCTAGTATGGCCACAATTATCAGTGTTATTATAGAAACACGGTCTCATTACTTATTTCTTATAGTGCCGTAATATCCTGTCAAATCAGACATTTTTAATTACCCCATTGAAATACAGTATTGAGTTGTGAGTATTTCCAACTATTCTCATAGTCGTAGTTTACTCACAACATATCTGATAGCCGGTAAATGTAAATTAAAGCTCAAGTACCACCAGCATACCTGACACAGCAGCCAGGTATTGTAAAGTCATTGGAACCTTTGTATGTTGTTCATTCATCCACCTGCTCACACTGTTTCTGTCCCCAAGGTCCTTGTCTCCAGGTGAGAGCAGGTAATGGAATCAGTCCCAGTAGACCCTCTCTGATAGACAAACAACAGGAGAGAAGGAGGATTGGAGGAGTGGAGGAGAGGAGGAAAGAAGAAGAGGAGGAATGGAGAAGTGGAGTGGTGTTCCGTTCCTCCTGCCTTCTCAGTTCTCCACTCTTTCACATTTAGGTCAATAGAGCTTTTTAAAGATATGATACAAGACACCAGGGAGTTCAGTGAGGCTAAGTAGGCCTGAGACTATCTTAAAGAAAGTCTGAGTTGTGTAGAGATTTTTTGCAATAAAATTTGAACCATGTAACTTTTTTAGTGGAGGTTACGCTGGCAATCTCCTTCGCTTTGGGTTTCTTACTGCTTTTCCTGGAAAATTGTACAGTACGGTGGTGTTCTTGAGCACTTAACCAACCTTGCCCATGTATGAATGTGATGTGTGATTGAAAGGTGTTATTCATTATGGCTAACAATAACCTAAAACATCCATAATGGGTATAATTGTCCAGTTAAGGTAGCCCCAGATCAGAAGAACTGCTCCCGACAGGTTGTCCCCACAGTATTGAAGGATGGGTCAGATACAGAGGACAAATTCTCCTACATGGACAATTACACAGACCTTTTCAAAAGATTAACACAATACTAGATACAAGTTTCTATTATAGTGGCTAAATGCATTTCAGCAGAGTCCTAAGCAGGTCTTTGGTAATGGTGAGATATAGAGGAGCACTGATTTGATAAGTGGTGTGGCTATTTTTAGAAAATGCTGCGTCAGAAAAATAATGCACTACAAAATAGGGTCTAGGAGGACAAACTTGGTTCCTTTTATCTCCATCCACACTCTTAGCGTCATCACAGACACTAGATACAGACACTAGATACCTCATGAGACTAAACTGGAAACGTTTACAGGAATTGCCCAATGAATCAGCAATATACCCTACAATAAACAAACATTATTTTTATGAATTGTAAAATGTCATACCACTTTAACAGCCTGTTGCAAGCAAACAAGTCATATTGAAACAGGCATCCAAGTGTCATGACTGAAATTCTTGCAGAACAAAACCTTGATTGAGTGCTTATTCACCAACACATTTGCAAAAAAAAAAAAAATCCATTCCACATGATGGTTTTCATTAAGCCTGTCACATAGCTAGCAGCCTGCTTCACAATGGCAATTTTATTCCTTCTCTGTTTACTACGCAAAATATGCCCTGGTTATACATTATTTAATTTATCTTTGAATGGGTAGGCTCTAGTTCTGAATAAGAAGTGATGCCAAAATAGAAAGCAGAAGTCTTTTAAAAGCAAAGTCTATTATTGTATGGCAACACAAGGAATCCAATGCTTGACAATAAATCAAAACGTGCAGAACATGCGCAGACAACATCTTAGACAGTTTCTAGGACCGCACAATGTCAACAAACGCGAGAGCAACAGGAGGCACGGTCGTCTATGAAAAGTCGCTGCAGTAAAAACAAGTGCATCGGTGCCATTCACTCACCTCTATCCATTTGCGCGCCTCCTGGATGGCACTGTCTGCGGCCGTGTCGAGGTGATGCTGCTGATGAGACTGTCCTATGTCTGCCACCGGACTTGCCATTGGCGTAAAACCTGCGCTCTCCATACAGGGAAGCAGTGCGTAAAACCGGTCAGCGCGCACGTATCCGAACCAAACTGTGCCGAAAAGTGCGCCAGGCAGCCCGTAGTCTTCTTCTTGGTGGTGAGCGGGTCTCGCAGCAACAGCACTGGACCAGTTTCTTCACTTCTCCGCGTTGGAGACTTGTCTACAGACAAAAGCAAGGTACAGGTAGTGGCATGCACAACATCCGGTTAGTACTATCAAAATAAAAGCAATAAAAGTGTCGCGCTTAATGTAGTTATGGTACATATATCTATCCAATTTCTGTTTATTTTATCTATAAACATCTTTATCATAAAATATCAGGTTCAGTAATTTAGTATGCAAGCTGGCTACCACACACCACCTAGTAGGCATAACTTTCTGAAAGTAGCATATCTTGAATGGATGGAAACAGTTAAAACCGTACTTTGGACCGCACATGAAGACAGATAAGTTTTATGTCATAGCTTACTGTGAAATATTATACTCAAAGGAACAACATTTGTATGAGGACGAGCACGTGGAGGATCAGGTTTGGGAAGATTCAAGTCCACTTACAGTAAGTTCTTCTACGTTTTTCAGTGCATTAAAACATAAAAAAAAAAAAAATGTAAGCACATGCTTTTACATTTGTTTTGAACAAAAAATAAGTTGACCAGACGTCCCTATTTACCCGAGACAGTCCCAGTTTTGAGTCCCGTGTCCCCTGTCCCAGCAGATTTCTCCAAAACTATTGATCTGTCCAAGTTTTATACAAGAAATGCCCCAAGTGTCCCTATTTTTGACCAATTTGATCCCTGCCAACGGTAAAGAGAGTCATACATTGGCATTTGCTGAGGTAAAATACAGAAAAGCTGCTTAAAAATGACCAAAACACGAAGAAAATTTGACTATACTGACTCACATGTTAGTTGGGAATAAGTCATGAATGGGCCGAGTGCAGAACAAGTCTCCTTAATTACGCACTCGTTTCACAGTTTTATAATTAACAAACACTCCAAACCGAGAAAGTCCCAGTTTTTGATTTTGAAATTCTGGTCAATCTAGCTAAAAAGTTACGTGGTGGAGCTTTAAGTCATTAGCTAGCTTGCGAACTTTTACGCATTATCTTACCTCCTAGCAGGATTATCCACTGCGGTGCCAGGTTACATTTGAGGACAACACGCTTTTTGAAATATAGCATTTTAAACACTTACAATTTCAATTTTTTGAGAGTCAGTATGTGGCAATGTTAAATAAACTGACTTTGTTTCCGGTTGTTGTAGAGCTGTCTGACTTGACCATGGATTCAGGACGCACACGCACTCCAAATGAACGTGCACTCCATCGCAGTAGCTCGTTCTGTAGTTTAATAAAATTGCGCAACACCAGCCAACCAGGGCAGAGCTACACCAGGGAGATCTGTTCTATTTTAATATCTAAGACAATTAAGAAGAGGGAAATTTGTTTAACGTGCCCTATTTTAATGCAAACCCTAGGCGTAAAAGCAAAATGCCTAATGGTTATTATCCAAGACACTGTAAACTACTAGGCCTAAAACCTTTTATTAAGACAAAATCAACTCGGGCTCCTCTAGTTCTGGAAAAGAATAGGAAAAAATAAGAGAAAGTTCTCGCTGTAGCTTTATCTTTGCTGCCCTCTGGTGTGTTAAAGCTGCATTACTACTATGAGATGAAAATATTGAGAGAAGGAGGGAGGAGCACTGAAGGATGCTGGAGTTCCTCAGTTCATGGTTTTATTTCTTCATGCATTCGCTCTGCACCTAACTTTTAAATTGCTTGGCTAAAACAATAAGTTATTCCAAATTTGCCTCAACACATTTTTATTTTAACTTTTGTATTTTTTTCATGTCTGTCTTTTTCACCTGTTGCCTAAGAACTTGCCAGACTGTTGGAGCATCTGTTTCTGACACAGCACCAGGTATGGTTGTGAATATTTTAAATATTTTTATCTAATCTGCTGTGTGTTTTTTTTTTTTTTTTTTTAATATAACACTTGTTTTACATTTTGTTAAATGTGTTTTATATAGTAATTATGTCATGGATTAGTGTAGGTGTATGGAAAAGAGAGGAGAGGTTGCACCAACTTTATTAATACTCCAAAGCATTTATACCTAGAGTGATATTCTCTAACCTGCTTTTTGCTTTGCCACAAATGCTCCACAGTATGGCATTAAACATATGTAGGGCTATCTAGTGTTCAAAAACTGTGATTGGCAAAGCAATAATGTGTCCATGGAGACAAACAAGTGGCAGTACGAAAAGATACATAGTGCACTTTTTTTATTCATGGCATGTTAAGAAGCAGCAACTACCTAGGCAAATTCAGAATGATGAAAAATTAGGAGTGTTGCCATAGCAATTAACATTTAAAAAAGGTTATTTCAGAACATATTTAGATCACAATGTTACCTTTTATTGTCTTTAAAACTATAAACTCCACTTTCAGAGTGCTATCACATTACAATTAGTGTGCATCCTGCTAATGGTTGTGGGCTGAGTTTTGGACAGAATTGTACTGCTAACTGTACAGAGGGTTCAAATAGAGCTGAACACTAAATTACCCAGTGAGGAAACAACATAATGACATGGTAGAAAACTCCAAAAAGTTGATTTTACGTAATACTAAGGATGTAACAGTAACCGAAATATTGTGATTGTATCGTCAAAGTTCTCACAATAATACCGTGGACCATCACAATATATCGAATTACAAGTCTCTTTGCTTAAATTAAGAGTTATGGTGCAGCAATAGACAAAAAAAGACAAAGAGAACTACATAGACCATGATCCTTTTCTCCATTTCAGTGTAGAAATAAGAAAGAAATAACAGAAAGAAAGAAGAAATAACAGTTCTAAGCACTTTTACATCTTAGTTCTTTGGGTTAAGTCTTGTCTCATTTTAAGAGGAAAAAGTAGCATATTCGGTTTTGTTCATAGCCTCCACAAAATATCGCAATAAATATCGTACCGTGAGATGCATATTGTGAAAATATCGTACCGAGGGATTTGGATATTAGATTAGATCCCTAATCATGAGCTTCCCCACTATATCGTGAGCTTTCCCATGATATTGCAAAAAATATCGTACCATGAGGTTCATACTGTGACAATATTGTATCGTAAGACGTGGATATCATTACACCCCTACATAATACCCTCATTTTAACAAAATATTGTTGTTGCTTTTAAATAAGAAGTTGAAACCTATGGATAGCTACTTATAATTACATTCTATTCTGTCTATTTCAGGCTTGTCCGCCTCTCTATCATCCCCAGCATTAGACATGTGGCTGGTGGCTGTATCTGCTTCCCCGATTCTTGCTGTCCTTCTCTTTTCCAAACACTACCGTGGTAAAGTGGTGTCCCTGTGCCAGAGAGCTCAGGCCTGGATACTGTGGCTCATGAGACAAGAGGTGTGTCCACAGAGCGTCCATGCTTTTGTCTTCTGCCAGTGCACTCACGGCAAAGTGGACAGTGTGCTGGAGACCTATGACCTCTACCACAGCATGTACCCCTCTCTCAGCATCGGACCGCAGATTGGTGAGTGCTACAACTGTGACTTCAAAACAGCTCGAGCTCCTGGAGAAAAGAAAATGAAAATTTGAAAAGCTGATATCTACAGACTCTACAGATACTCCCCATTTCTCATATGGGACTTCTCACCTAAATAATAAACACTTTGAGTGACACAAGTTAACATTATTTTGCTAAACAGATGCTTGTGTGTTTTATGGCAGTATGAAAAGGCACCAGAAACTAAAACACTGTGGGTTCATTTGGGTTCATACTTGCACAATGAATATTTCATTACTGTTAGGTCTAAAGTATAGTCGAAAAGAAAAAGAAAAAAAAAGACAATGCATAACTTTACATTCCCCATACAATATATTACTTTAGAATGGACAATGATAGATTAAGATTCACTTTATTGTCCCCTGTTCACCTCTTCTTTTTACCCATCCTTCCATGCCACGAGGGCAACCTGTCAGGAGCAGTGGGTGCCTGGGAACGTATCTCTGGATCTTGAGCTTGGTCAGGACTTCCTTAGCTCAAGGATTTGACCTTTGTGTGGATTTGCAAAACAGACTGCTCCAAATGGGGAGAAAGTTCACACAGAAAGGCCCAGGCCACCCAGAAGTAGAATCCCAAACCTTCTTGCTGTGAAGTGTGAGTGCTAGCCACCATGCCATCTGGTATGAATATTTAAAAAATAAAAGAGCAAAAACACACATACATAGAACCTTAAGTTTGCTACACCCAGTCCCCTCATGCAGTTAGTGATCTGTAATCTGATCTGTTTTAATAAAGACATTATTCTCCCATAGGTGCCCAGTTGGATGAGGTGGTGAGGCGGTTACAGCCCTTCATGGCTCTGGAGCTGGGGATGCACTGTGGCTACAGCTCTGTGCGTATGCTGCGTCTGCTGCCCCCTGGAGGCCGATTGATCACAGTGGAGCAGGACCCTCAAACTGCAGATTATGGAGAGGAGCTCATCCTTGTGGCAGGATTTAAACATCACCAGGTAAACCTTATAAGACGATTCACAGTTAAGATTAATACTGGTTTGGTCTTGGTTTAGTTCTGATGTAGGCTTGGTTTTGTTTAGGTTTAAATCTGAGTTTAATCTCAGTTTAGTCACAATTTAGTCAAGTTTAGTGTTTTGGTTAAGTTACAAATGGTAACTATGGTGTAAGTTAAGGTCTCCAGTAAATGAGTGTCCCCCAAAAGCACCGAAACCCAACCTGTGTAAACAAAGCCTAATACTTTTATATAATTTATCTATTTAAATTTAGGATTTCAGTATATAATGAAATTGTTAGTTAAAATGTATTTGTATTTTGAGTGGGCAAGTTATCTTAATTTTATATTCAAAATTGCATAGTTGTTAGTATAATAAACAATAGTTGTCAACTAATCAGCAATAAGATTAATATAATACAAATAAAGGGTTAACTTGGTAAGAACAAGTACAAGTAAAAATAACAAGAAAAGAGAAGCACAGTAAATTGATAACATTGGCAATTTTGGCAAGTAAAAGGTACAATACAAAATGTGCAGCTGCCACGTGACCCAGTTTAACTTTAAAATCAGTAGAAAAAGTATCAAGGAAAAATTAGTATTCATTAATTTGATCTTTATGAAGGGCAGACGTGCAGATTCATAGCTAAGATAATAAATAGAATAGTAAGAATACTTGACAGTAAGTATTACAGTATAATACCAGAGTCTGTACAATAACATTTTGTGATTTCTGTATTCCACACATGAATTTATAGTAACAATGATGCATGACACATTTTTATATTATGGTCGATAGTTGCTCAGTTGGTAGAGTGTTTATCTGATCTGACGGTTGGCATTTCAATTCCAGCTCCCACAGATGAATGCTGTTGTTGTGTCCTTGGGCAAGACACTTAACCCACCTTGCCCTCATTGTCTGTGTACACTGGTGTATGAGTATGTGTGTGTGAATGGGTGAGTGGATGTTTGATGTAAAAGTTCTTGTAAAAGTGATGTAAAAGTGCCTTGAAGGTGGAAAAGCGATACACAAATTTATGTATTATGGAGTCTTGTTTTGTTTTTTGCAGTTTGAAGTATTAACATCAAGTTCGTCTGATGCCATCCTGTTGCTGCCTGGACGCGTGGGCTCTCATGAGGACGGCTTCAGTCTAGTGCTGATGGACCACGATCAAGGACAGTACCTCACAGATCTGCAGAGCCTGGAGAGAGAGGGACTACTGCGCTTTGAGGGCTGCTCCATAGTGTTCATGTACAGAGAGAGAGGAGCAGGCAGAGACATCAGGGAGTACATACAAACCAGAGGACACTGTTACTGCATCAACATTGACACACGCTTTATGGTGGAGGTGTGCTATCAAAATACAGGGGTAACAAGAGCGCGTGAAAAATAGCTTTGGTCCGCATTGTGTAAATTGAAGTATCTTATTTTAAATATTTGGATATATATTTGGCATGACATTAAAAGTGAATATTTAACTTAAAGGTACTGTACCTGATTTTTACTGTATTAAAAGCATGAAAAACAGAACTAGTTTGCAGTGGTCCGAAGTTATTCCTCACTTACCTTATGCATTATGAGCATCCTAAGTATTCACTGCAATCACTTTATAAGCAGTTTTCACAACTCTCAGAAACCAGAGTGGAGTTTTGCCATGATGGTAAAGCAATCAGCAACTAG